TATTTTTGAGGTGCAGGAAGTGGCGAGTATGGTCACCTCAGGGCTGTTCTGTATTGCAATATTTCCAGGGAGGGCTTATTTTAGTGCATGTACTCAAAAGCACAATTGGGCTTATTGTCCATGGAGGTCTTATTTTGGGGGAAACAGGGTAATAGATATTAAGTTTGATAAAATAGAAGGCCTTTTCATATTTTTCTGTACTAAATGCTGTAGCCCAACACATAACCTACTTGTACAGTGTGAAAAAAATGTTCAAATGCAGCCAGATGTTTCTAGCTGAATTAAACTGTCACATTAGTAGAAGATACAAGACAGCATGTGTGGGAATTTTTTTTTAATGAATGTTGCCAAAATGTGAATACACAAAATAAATATTGTGACAAAAGCTAATTCAGTCTGTTGTAAATATGGCAATTTTAGAACTTCCGGAGAGGAAATGATGAACTGAAGAGCCAAAATATAAACTGGCACTTTATAATTTTTCTTGAAATTGGCTTATAACTTCTTCTGACATCTGTTCCTTATGAACAGACAGTGTGTTTTGCAGGTTTAGAGCTTTGGGAGATGAGGGAGAGCTATCTTTGTTCACATCATAGTTGGCACCTTTAAAAGGACATTGAGTATGCATTCTTCTTTTCCGAATCACTTTAGCAAATTGTTAACTGTTTTAGTTACTATGAACCTTTGGATTGACATGTTTTATAACACCAGATTACTTTGTTTCAATTCTTAGAAAAATAGTTTTAAATACAAGTTTAGACTTTTTTAAAAAATTGAATAGCAAAAGGGTAACTAGAATGCTGATTTTGGAAAAATACAAATGAAAGATGGATTTGAAATAAAATTTTGGAATTGTAAGAATTCTTCCCATGGAAAAATAAATACCTAAAAACGGGATATATTACAGGGAAATCAGAAAGAATTAAATATTACAATTACATGGCAAGTTGTTTTGCTTTCTAACACAGAATAGAGCAAACTATTTTAACATTGGACATACTGAGGGATACTTTTGAACAACAGAGAAAGAAATAAATTTTAAGAGCATCTGCCATTATAGACAGATTGTGTTTAAAAGATGTTATGGTAGAAGAACAAGTTTTATTGGCCAAGACTGAGACTGATCTGAAAGGTTCAAAAATGTTAGGCTACAACAATGACGTGGAAAAATATCCTATACTGGACATATGAAACTAGATGATGTCTTAAGAATCAAAGGAATACACAAATAAGCCAAAAAGTGGCTTGGATAATTATGCTATACATTACTTACAAAAGAGATGTGTTAAAGCTTTTAAAAAAAATTGTGAGAAGAGACAATAAAGAGAAAAGAGATCAAATTCTAGGACATTGTTTAAAAGGATGAAAGATTACGATTGTTAAAAGTAAAAGGAAGGAATGTAAAGTTGGTTAGAATCGATACATTGTTATATCTGGTAACCTTTATGAAGACCAGGACTGCTTGGCAAGATTTTAAGAATCTGCTTATAAATAAGAGATGAAATACAGAGAGAAGAGTTCATGTGTTATTTTTAAAGAAAGGGTGATATGTTACTAAAATTGTTTAAGCTTGTGATTAAAAGGAAAGTCATATATATATGTATACACATACATACATACATACATACATACATACATTATACATACATACATTATACATACATACACACACACACAGATTTTTCTTTACTTTATTGTTATTTTTCTTTCATGCACTTTGTTTTTTATTTTTGTTTGTATTAATTTTTATCTTTTTAATTGCAATGTTTAATTATAAAATATAACAATTTTAAAATTGTAATTGTAGTTTAATTGTAGACAGATTATGATAGAAAATATAGCATCCTATACATCTACATTCTTGCTAAGTAGCAGTTACATATAACTGAATCAAACCTATCTTGTATTCCAAATATAATTGGCATTCTGCTAAATGTTTGATTTGGAACTTCTTTTGAAAATTATTTGTATATTAAAATGTTTTCATAGCTGCTTTTTTTTTCTACAATAAATGGAATAGTTGCAATATTGTCTATTGTCTTACTAAATAGCCTTGTAAAATGGCCTACTTTACACAAGAGCATTGATAGCATATGTGAAAATGTGCACTTTTTAAATATCTATTTCCAACTCTTTCATGAAGCCACTTTGTGAATGGCTTAAAATAAAAACCAAATGTAGATCAAGTGAACTACCATCATGAACTTACTACTCTTTCACCTCTCTTGTTTACTAAACAGTGTAGATATTATAAGTATAATCTTAATTATTATTGTACTTAAATACAACAAAATTAGGACTGCAAGCTGCCAAGAAACATAACCATTAGATGGTGGATAAGAGTTAAACAGTTTAAATGCTTTATAGCTAGTGAGTGTCTGGATTTTGCCAGCCCAGATCTAGTAGCTATAATAGTTGTGAAGTCAAATGTTCAGAAATGCTCAAATTCATGAGTTTTCCGGCCTCTTCCAAGTTACAACATGGTTCAGACAACCATTTGTGTCTGAAATGGTATAGGGCTGGGATGGTGAACCTATGGCACGCGTGCCACAGGTGGCACACGGAGCCATTTGTCAGGGCACATGAGGTGTTTCCCTGTCAGCTGGCCAGCTGAGTTCAGCCTTTTTTAAAGCCCTCCCCAGGCTCCAGAGGCTTTATAGGAGCCTGGGGAGGACAAAAACAGTCTCCCCACCCCAGAGGCCCTCCGGAGGCTTCAGGAGCTTCCCTGAAGCCTCCGGAGTGCAAAAAACCAGCCCTACGGGCAAACCGGAACTTCAGAAATGGAGTTCCAGTTTGCTTGTAGGGCCAGTTTAAGCCCTCCGGAGCCTTCAGAGGCCTTCCGAAGGATTCCCTGAAGGCTCCAGAGGATGAAAAATGACCCTTCAAGCAAAACGGAAGTCACTCCGGAGGGCCTCTTGGGTGGGCAAGGGAGGCTGTTTTTGCCCTTCCCAGGCTCCTATAAAGCCTCTAGAGCTTGGGGAGGGCGAAAAAAGCATGCAAAAAATGGCGGGGAGCCGCTGTCATGCGTGCATGTGTGCTGGGGGTTTGCACATTGCATTATGGGTGTGGCATGCCCACGGATGACCCCTCTGCACTCCCCCCGCTTATGGCACGTGAGCCAAAAAAGGTTCGCCATCGCTGGTATAGGGTCTTCTTCATGAGCAGGAGTTTGGACTAGGAGACCTCCAAGTCCACCTCTTGTTATTCTCTCCTCATATTAGAATTAGAATTATTTTTTGGCCAAGTGTGATTAGCCGCACAAAGAATTTGTCTCTGGTGCATAAGCTCTCAGTGTACATACAACAATAGTTATGGATCATTATTGTCAAGGTAAAAATACTTTCAACATAAAACATTAGATACAACACTTAGTGAAAATCATGGATACTAAATAAGAAATGAACACAAATCATACTAGGATACTAAGTAAACTATGTAAATCGTAAGATACAAGCAACAAAGCTATAGTCATAAAACAACCCCTTTTTAATGAGCAAAGAGATAAATCACCATTTCAAGACTCTTCAAGCATCAGCCCTAGAGGGTAGAAGCGAGTCACCAAAAGGCAAAAAGATGACTTGTACAATGGCATGAAACTGAGACACAAATGCAGTATGTGCGGACAGGATTAGAAGCACGATTGTGCCACGTTACTGTGGATATCTTTACTACATGTGTTTCTGTAGAGCCCGTGGCTGTTATTCCAGGATACTTGTACAAGTCAGGGCAAAATCCGCCCTTGGTGAAACACTTATCACTGGCAATACTGCTCCCTTCTTCCCCTTTTACATTGAGGGCAAGTGATGGAGAGATATGAAATAAATGTAAGATAACTTCAGTCTTGTGGCACTTATTTAAAGATTCAGGGCTGGGTTCTGCTGTTAGATATTTATGGTTCAGAGCCTGCCTCAATAAAGGCCCAGTGCTGGAAACATAAAGTGGACCAGAGGCTAAGAAATGCAGCGGGAAGTCACCACCTCGTCATACAAAAGACTCAGTTGGAATGAATATGATTGAACAACTGATTCTTTGCAAATTGTGAGATGTACAATTCATAAACAAAGTGGGTCTTTTGTTATTTAAACATATTTTGTTACTGGTTTTGCTTGGATTTTCTGATTCTATTTTGTAACAACAGTATCTCCACCACTGCCTCTCTTATTTCTGTATTGTGTGGTATGTAACATGAAACGAGTTAGAACCAATGGTCCTCTCAGTAATTCTGAACTACATCTTTTCATTTAGCCCATGATAACAGAAGCTGGGAATTATAACTCTGTAGTATTTGAATGGGCACAGATCCTTTATTCATGATTTACTCTTTCCAACAAGGGGGAAAATAGGGTTTTTCATAGTCTTCATTTTAACCAAATCGGTGAGGTGCACAATGGGGATATATAATTAATAAATATTAACTGCATGAATTATTACGCATCAGGTTTATGTAGTACCATTTAGCAATATAGGAATATATGACAGAATTAACTAAACAGTTTAAAGAAAGACCAACAAAGTAATATTTGTCTCAATGTAAATTGAGAGGAAGAGCCAGTTTGATGTTAGAAGCTGTAAGTGCTAATCCTGCCAGGACGCTGTAAATACTACTTCCACCTTAGGTAGAAACATACCATATTTTTTGGAGTATAAGATACACCTTTCTCCCCCTAAAAGAGCGTGGAAATGTTGGTGTATACACAGAATACAGCCATTTTTGGCCTCCCAAAGCCCTGCCCCCACATCACATTTTTGCAAAAAAACAGCCATTTATTTTTTTTTGCAAAAACAGAGGTGTTTTTGCCTTCCCCCAGCATCCCAGAAGCATTCTGCAAGGTTCAGAAGGCTGGGGGAAAATGGCCCATTTTCTGCCGTTTTTCAAAAAAATGAGGGTGTTTTTGCCTTCCCCCAGCCTGTTGAAGCATGCAGAGTGCTCCTGGGGGCTGGGGAGGACAAAAACTTTTTTTCTTACTTACCTCTTCAAAATCTTGGTGCGTCTTATACACCGGTGCATCTTATAATCTGAAAAATATGGTAGCTGGGTGACCTTGAGCCACTCATAGCCTTTCAACCTTAACAAGAAAGCAATAGCAAACAACATATTGCCAAGAAATCTACAGGGGCTTCTCCAAGCAATTGTTAGGACTCAACAATTACCTGAAGGCATAAAGAAAAAATAGAGGAGAAAGCTGATTAAACAATCAGCTATTTGCCTCTCCAGTCCTTGGACAGAGAAGCAACTTCATTAATTCTTACATGCTTTATATTTACAGTCCAATTTAAACCAGTCTAGTTTCTGATTTTTGCTGTTGCAAGGCTAAACATTGGTTACTGTGGGGAAAAAATCCACCCAATTACTTTGATTTGAATGAGGTATCACTTGTAGATGCAATATGAAGCTTATCTAGACTGCAGTAAAGGCTGAGCATCTATTCTCTTTTCTGAGAACCTTTCTGAACTTTTCTGTTTTCTTTGCTGAACTTGGTATGTATAATTCTGCATGATAGTCTTGTTTCAGGATGAATTACATGTATGCGAAACTGTCCATTGCTCCTTCCCCTCACACATCTTCCTCTTATTATTTCTTTCAGTTTAATTTATTAACTCATAAAAATGAAACTATTGGTTATTTTTGTTACATCACCATGAACTGATGTTTTTCCTAAGGCTTGGCTGAAGAAGCACTGTCTAAAGCCAGTGGACAATTAAGTGTTCTTTTGGGAGTTCTTTAATAGAGTTGTCTTTCTAATGAATGACCTATGAATGATGGAGCAATTGGCACAATGGCTCATTAAGGCAGCTCAACATCATCTTAGAATGGGAAAGGAGAAAAGATTATCATCTTCAGCCTTCTTGAATGTAGCTGGGGTGGTACTGGTAGTAACAACTGGTTTGAAACCAGCTTTTCTATATGATTACAATTCTTCTGGGATTTCTCAGATCCTGAACTATGTTCAATATCTTACCCCTCAACTTACGTGTTGGCTGCATATTCTTAATATAGCTGAAAATGTTCTAATAATAAACTTGGAGTTGATGTGTTTGTGTATGGAGTCAGTCCTGCTTAGCAATAATGTCTTCTTCATTGATGTTTCTGCTTTTAGATCCCGTCCTACCTTTCTAACCCAGAAAAGGTGAACCTTATAAAAAACCATCTGTTAGAGATATTGAATCATATTAAAGTATTAACAGAAGATACGTCCCAAATAATATCTTCAAGTGAACTCTTTCTGACTGAATGGAATCTTTGTACTCTATTTGGTGTATTGCTAGGGTATCCACCATCCTATAATTTTCCTACTCAGAAGAGTTCTGATAATTGTCTTACACTAATTCCACTGAAAGTATTTACTGTTTGAGCCACATTTTGTATGGTAAATAGTGATTTCATAGTTCAGTTTTATTCTTTCAGCATCCCAGAACTCTTGTATCCAGACATGAACATGAACCTCAGCACATGGTGTGAAAAACTCGCAGATGCTTTTAAAGCTCAAAAAGAATTTGCTGATCTCTGCATTGCAAGTGAGGTGGTTGCTCTATCAGCAGTGGCCTTGTAAATATGAATCCCAGTTTAGAGACAGTTAACACTGTTTGTCCACAGTATTCTACTGATTTGTTTAAAAGCTTCAGAACAGGGGCAGTTTGGAAGCATAGTTCAAGCAATTATGTCAATGTTCTAAACAAATACACAGTTTTCCTTTCAGCAGCATTCAGGATATCCTTCATACTTAAATTTCCAAGAATCTTTCAGGTTAGCATACTTTTCCAGAAGATATTAATTGATCTGTTCTAAATTCCAGGCAAAAAGAATTCAGTGCTTTTCTCCAGCTAGAATAGGCAATGAGTTCAATGCCAGCATGGTCAAGTAAGTGAATTGAGGAACCTAAGGTATTTGAAACTGTAAGAATGGCTATTGTATCAGTGGTTATAGAGATCAGTTTTTCAGTTTCAGTTTTATTGAGTTTGTATGCCGCCCTATTCCCGAGAGACTCAGGGCGGCTCACAATAAAAAAAGGGAGGGGATACAAAAAATAAAATAAAAACAACAATTTAAAATTCTACAACAGCCATAACCTCGAATGGGGCTGGATAGTTCAACAGCCCCAGGCCTGCCGAAACAGCCAGGTCTTAACCGCTTTGCGGAAGGCTGGAAGGGTAGTAAAGGTCCGGAAGTCCACGGGGAGATCATTCCAGAGGGCCGGAGCAGCCACAGAGAAGGCCCTCCCCTGAGGAGTCGCCAGCCGACATTGGCCGGCAGATGGAATTCAGAGGAGGCCTAGTCTGTGGGATCTAATAGGTCTTTGGGAGGTAACTGGCAGGAGGCGGTCTCTCAAGTACCCAGGTCCAATACCATGTAGGGTCCGATACCAGGCCATATATGGGTAGGCATACGTACAAACAATACAATATGGAGGGGCATACAAACAATATATGGATAGGCATACAAACAATATTGCTTTGAACTTTAATAATAATACAAAAACTAATTTAAGTAATATACAAAGCCAAACAGACAAACTCCTTCATTACAATACACAATTCTTAATTTTACAAGACATTTTAAAATTGAAATACCAACCATTTGGGATAATTTAGATTGCTATAGTGCAATCAATAAGAGGCAAATAAGACAAGTTATGTTCAAGGGGTAAAGTTGCTTAAATAAGATATCAGAGCAGTTACCACTATTACCATTAAGATAGGAATCCAATGATCATGATTTCTCTGAAAAAAAGAAAATGTTTTGAGGTAATACATTGATTATAAATAAAGTACATAGTCAGAAAAAAAATACTCCTGGTCATGTAGTGGCACTTCTATTCTGCTTTCAGATTGTTATTTTATTCCGCTTCTACTTCTATTTGATTAAAATATATGTATCAGAAATAAAAGAGTCTTTTTTCCTCTACAATGGCAAAAACAAAAATAAAAAGAACTATACAGTCGATGCTGAAGATAGATGAATTATGATTATAATCAATGTTATTCAGTGTGTTTTGGTAAAAAGATTATCTTAAAAGCTACATTTCATAGAGATACTGCATAGACACAAGGTGAATCTTTTGTGCATAGTTCTTAAGAAAATTACAAGTGTATAAAAGGACTTTATTTATTAATCTCATTTTCTACACTACCCTCTCACTTGTGACTCTGGACAGGTTATAATAAAGAAAAATATTTATGTCTAATTTAAAAATACCCAGTTTGTATATCCCAGGATTTCCAGTCTCCTTAATAGTAATGTAGCATCGCCATATCTTTATTTTTATTGCATATATACGCATTTTTATTTTTGAAACATCCAAGTTCAAATCCATGAGCAGGGCACCAAAACAAGGAAGGTGGGCTACAACAATATTGCCAACCAAGAACTGTTTGCATTGGTTAGGATTTCAACTTCTAAATATGCTATCCACTGAGGAAAATGGTTGGATTTATGTAAATTCTGGGCATTTGAATCCCAGTTTCGGTAGAATGCCAAGTTGATTGGGGAAATCTGTACTATATCTTTGATTATTAAGGTTGCAATAGGTGGCACAAATGGAAGTTCTTACCTGGGCTGGTTTGCTTTGAGAGTGCTTCAGTTCATCACGACAATGCTGTAAATTCACAAGGCAACTGCTATATTCATTGTTCAGGATCTCTAGTTTATGACAGAGATCAGTGCACTGGACAAGAAAACAAAAACATGCTTAAAATGATTGTTCTATATTGCTTTAATTTAAAAAAGGTTTACGGCAGGGGTGGACCTCATGAATCCAAGAAGCTATCTGCCATTCCTCATTTCTATTTTTTGCACACCCCAAAGTTTTCTAAGATCAAGCTGTTAAAATTTTGCAGTATGTGCAATTCCAGCTGATTTTACTTTAAACAAAAAAATAAAAGCTTCTGCTAAATTATTTTACTTTAACCATCCCAGCGTTTCTGAATTACTGTAAAGTTATGAACATAAACATCTGTTGTTTAATATTTTATGTTCTAGTTTTGCTTCTTGGTTCTGTTTTATTTTCAGAAATTATAATTAAATTTTTTAAAAATGTGTCTGTGTACCATCCTCCCATACTGGGAATTATACCTTGCATCTGCCCCTGAATGCACCCCTATCAATTTCTGTCTGCAAAGCAGTCTTGGCATTTTGTATACTGCCTAGTGAAAAAAACTGATTCCTGCTGATTTTTGGGGAAAGATACTTTTTTTCTTCTTTGCGTCAATGTTAGCTGCCATGCATTGTATTAGAAAAGTCTTAAGTTTATGGCATTTTCTTTGAGGGTTTTAATGCCACAGTCTCTACTGTGAGGCTTGCATTTCACTGGGAAACCATATATATACTATTTATCAGCACAAATACTACACAAATGTAACAAAGGCAACAGTAAAAATATTGGGTTTCTGTCGTGATGGTCTCTTGTGACGAGCCGATAGACAGATAATGGAAGCAGTTTGCTTCCTCCCACATTTGGGCATACCAGGGGTTGTGACACTATATATATATATATATATATATATATATATATATATATATATATACACACACATACATACATACATATATACATATATATATACATACATATACATATACATACACACACACACACACACACATACATACATACATACATATATACATACATATACATATACATACACACACACACACATACATACATACATACATATATACATACATATACATATACATACACACACACACACATACATACATACGTGTGTGTGTGTGTGTTGTGTGTGTGTTGCAGAATTGTCCATATATTTTTGATTTAGAAGAGGCAACAAGCAGTGAAGTTAAGAAATTGGGGACGATTTGAAAAATAAAATGGATACTATCGTGGAAGACCTTAAACAAGATGATGTCACAGATCTATGTAAGTTTTCACCACATAATAGCAAAAGGAACAAAGGGATTGGGGATGTTAAATCCTGTCTTAATTTTAGTTTAAATTTAGGAAACAAGCTTAATTGGAGAACAGCCCTCTATTGCGTTCTATGGCAATGCTTCCTGAGCTACTTTGAAAAGAGTTGACTCATTATGATAAATTGCTTGGGTTTTAACTGAATCATGGAAAGCTACAAAGTCTACAAGCTGCTGGATAGACAATGAAAAACAGGATATTTACACACCCTCCTTGTCTACTTTGTATGTAACTAATTATGTATTGAAACACCACATGGATGAAATACGGTATTGAGTGAAATTTTCTTTTAGGAGAACAATTCATTTTATCAGCTCATCTAAGAATGGATGAAAAGATCCGGAACACACTTTTGGCAGTTATTTTTATGACATTCATGCTAATTTTCTTGCCCTTGTTCCTAATTGATGAGATAGTACCAAGTCCAAATTTTAGTTTGCCACATTACTGAAATAATATGGACTTGATTCTCACATCTGATTTGGGATCAGGGAAAACATTAGCAATTGTGTTAACATGTACTAAAACTGAGTTGATTTATTAGTGACTGGATGTGAGAAATCCAGTATGGGATCTGGATCAATCCCTCTGTTCCACGTCTTTGTATATGTTTGGATTAAGGGTACATTATCATAGTACAGTAATTATCAGCCTTTTCATAAACAATAGGCATATATAATGAACGGAAAGAGAATCTGAATTTACTATCAGTGATAAGAAGTTGCACATATATTTAGTGTAAAATAAATTTGAAATAATGCATGTAAGAGATCAAATACAAGACACTAAGCTTGATGAGATACGAACTGATAATACAAAACATTTATAGTTCCATTGAAAGATATTTACAAATAACAATCTCCTAATGAGATCCTTAAATCTTATTAGCTGCTTGAATCACCTCTTCACCTCTTTTTTCTTAGCTGCAAGCTGGGATGTCCTTTTTTGCAGTTCCTCTCTCAGGCTGCTCTCTTTCTCTCCCTCTTGATCCTCTGATGGGACATTCTGCTTAGTTGTTACCCATCTGAGGACTTCATTGGGCACTGTGACAATCTGGTCTATAAAAACAATGATATTAGGAAAACATTCTTGGATTCCTATGATACTGCAGGATGTTTGCCTTGCCCAATAAATGCATGAATTAAAACCTGTCCTTTATCGGTTATGTCATAAATATGTTAAAATGAGCTACACCTTTTTTTGAAAGTTGTGACGTAATTATGAAGATATCATGTTGTTAAATCCACAGGAAAGCATATAAGTTGATCAGCTGAGAAAGTTGGGTGGAAATGAAGAACCAAGGTTGTTTAAATTATAAATGAGCACAAAGGTAAAACAATAGAATAATCTTCAATGTGTTAGTCTCATCCGTACTGGATAACAGTTCCCATATATCCAGCTAGTATGAAACAATTAATACAACTTACTAAAATCTCAGGTACCTCAAGATAGTTGATTTCAATAAACTTAGAGCTTGTGAAGGATTCCTGGATAAGAATCCGCAAGGAAAAACAACCCAAGAAGCTTGGGCAACTTTGAAAAAGAGATTATAAAAACCCAGTCTAGCTCAATTCCAATGTAGAATAAAAATAAGAGATCTCAAAAGAAACCTGCATGGCTTCACAAAGAACTCTCTGATAAATTAAAAGATGAAAAAGAACTAGTATAAAAAGTGAAAAGAAGGGCACATAACTAAGGCAGAACTTTAGGAAATAGCTTGAATCTGCAAAGATGAAGTCAGGAAAGCTAAGGCTTAAAATAAACTGAGGTTTGTGATAAAAGTAAAAAAGCTTCTTTCAACTTGTAAAAGACAAAAAAGCAAATGATTGGTGATTTAATGGGAGAAAATGATAAGAAAGTGATAAGCAGCAGGGAGAAAGCAGAACTGCTTAACTAAATTTTTGCATCTGTCTTTACACAAAAGAAAAAAACAGTGCACTTTATAAAAACACTGTAAATTAAGAATGCAAGTAAAAATAAACAAGAAAATGGTAAGAGAACATCTATCCACTCTAGATGAGTTCAAATCACCAGGATCAGGTGGTTTACACCCCAAGGTTCTTAAAGAATTGGCAGATGTGATTTCAGAACCACTGAACCATATATTTCAAAGATCTTGGAGCACCGAGGAACTTCCAGATAATTGAAAAAGGGCTGATATAGTTCCCATTTTTTTTAAAAGGGGTAGCGGGTGAATCCAGGAAACTACAACCTATCAGTCTGGAATACCTGGGAAGATTCTGGAAAACATAATTGCTTAATGAATATGTAAACATCTAAAGGCCAACAAAGCCCTAATCAGAAGCCAAAAATAGACCATGCCAGACAAATTTTACTATATTCTTTGACAAAATGATAAAATTAGTGGACCAATGAAATGCTGTGGATATAATTTAGTTGGACTACAATAAGGCATTTGATAAAGTAGACCACAACCAAGATAAAAATGTGGGCTAATAAGAATTATCACCAGGTGGATTCATATCTGGCTGACCAACAGCACTCAACATGTAGTGCTTAATGGAACTGAAAAAAAAGTAGCAATAGAACTAGAACTATAAATAGAATAGAATAGAATAGAACAGAATAGAATATGAGTTGGAAGGAACCTTGGAGGTCTTCTAGCCCAACCCTCTGCTCAGGCAGGAAACCCTATACCATTTCAGACAAATGGTTGTCCAATTTCTTCTTAAAAACTTCCAGTGTTGGAGAATTCATAACTTCTGGAGGCAAGTTGTCCCATTGGTTAATTGTGTTCTAACTATCAGGAAATGGCTTCTTAGTTCTTAGTTGCTTCTCTCCTTGATTAGTTCCACCCATTGCTTCTTGTTCTACCCTCAGGTGCCTTAGAAAATAGTTTGACTCCCTCTTCTTTGTGGCAACTCCTGAGATATTGGAACACTGCTATCATGTCATCCCTAGTTCTTCTTTTCATTAAAGTAGATATACCCAATTCCAGCAAGCATTCTTTATATGTTTTATCCTCCAGTCTCCTAATCATCTTTGTTGCTCTTCTCTGCACTCTTTCTAGAGTATCAACATCTTTTTTGCATCATGGCGACCAAAACTCTACGTGGAGGGAAGTTTGCAGTGGGGTATACCAAGGTTCTGTCTTAGGGCTTTCCTCTCTCCCCCCTCCCTCTCTTTCTTTCTCTTGTTCTCCCTTTGCCTTCCTTTTTTCTCCCATTCCTCCCCCTTCCTTCCTTCCTCCCTCCCTCTCTTTCTTTCTTCTTTCTGTCCTTCCTTTCTTTCTTTCTTCCTTCCTTCCTCCCTCCCTTTCTTACTTTCTTTTGTTCTCCCTTCTCTCCCTTTTTCTCCCATCCCCTCCTTCCTTCCTTCCTTTCTTCCTTCCTTCCTCCCCCTACCTCCCTTTCTTTTGTTCTCCCTTCCCTCCCTTTTCCTCCCATCCCTCCCTCCCTCTTTTGCTTTCTTTCTTTCTTCCTTCCTCCCTCCCTTCCTTTCTTTTGTTCTCCCTTCCCTTCCTTTTTTCTCCAATCCCTCCCTGTGTTTATAAAGAAACTATTTTTTTAAAAAAGGCAATCTACTATATGTTTATTTAATTTATTAAAGTTTTAATCACCACCAACAACAGTAATGTAGATTATGAAATGAATATCACAAAGATAGAATAACAGAATAACAGACTTGGAAGGGACCTTGGAGGTCTTCAAATCCAACCTCCTATTCAAGTAGGAAACCCTACACCATTTCAGACAAATGGTTTCCCAATCTCTTCTTAAAAGCTTCCAGTCTTAGAACACAAAATATTCCAGGATAGAGTATCAATCTTGTATTGATATGGTTAGTGTTGTGTTACTGCAACTACTATTATGAAGTACGATAATTATTAATGTAAAATTAACTAGAATATTATTGTTATTACTTCTATGACAAACACACTCATCTTGCTCTGGTCACATTATGCTAACCAAATTAGTTCATTTTAGGTCTCAGTTATGCCCTGCTTGAAAGTTATTCCACATTCAAATGTTTTCAATGACATAGAACATTTTTATCACACTTAAGAAATCACTACTACATTCAGTAATATAGCTGGTGGCTCTAGCCTGACCACTCTAAATGCCCTAGTGTAAAATGCCCTACTGTAAAAATGGGGATTTATTCCCAAGTGTTGATATATTGAGAAGAAACAAAAATAACAGCTTGGGGCCTTTAATTCACAATATTCTCATACCTATCCTATGTTGGTAGACCTCCAAGCTAATTATTCACCACTTTTCTCAAACAGTTTTACTTACTTTGAAGATGTTTAATTGTTGACTCCATTATGAATGTTTGCTTTTCTTCAGTCCGCAGCTTGCCTGAAAACGATAAAGAATGATGCATAATTTTCTGCAATTTTTCTTTTCTTTTGCCTAAGCAGAAGTGTTTGCATTGTAAGTGGGAGATGGATTTCAGTTTAGCCTACAGAAATCCACATTGTATGATGTTTAAACACTGCATCCTTGACACTCTTTTTTTTCTAAAACCAAATGAAACAGCATTGTTTATCACACTAAGCAAAGCAGCACACTTGCTTAGCAACTTTTGAATATTGTGGTAGCTCAATAAGAAGTAAGCTGTACCTTTCATTAAAAAAATAAGTTTAACTGATTATTGCAATTGTATTGTTTATATGAGAAAGTCAGACTTCAAGACTATCTGGTAAATCTTTCATAAGCTATTGCACACTGCATGAGGGAATTGTTTGCCTGAAAACATTTACATTTCTGTTTGTCCACAGCTAGCACTTCACAGCAATTTGCTATAAAGCGATTTTGATTTGTAGGAAAGAGAGGATCTTTCAAATAATCTTTCTTCAATATTCATTCTAAGTTTATTCAGTTATACATTTATTCCTTGCAAATGTATTCATTCTAAGGTTATTCAGTTATTATTCGATGTCTTAGTAGTGTTTGAAATCAGTGGCTACAATCCCAAAAACATCCAGTTAGTTTTAAAATACTATACATAAAATACACGTGAGGGGGAAAAAATCTTAAATTTTACCCGACTCTCTCTTGCCCAAGGTCCTGGTAAACTGTGCAATTCTTTTTCAGTTCTGTTTCAGTTCAGTTCAATTTGTATAAATTGCATCATCTGGTTTTAATTATTAATGGTAATTTAAATGGAAGCTTAATGAGATTTCTACATAAATTAAGTTTACCACAATCCAGCCTGTTCATGCTATTATTTCTTTACCTTCAACTTCCCCAAGATACTCCATGAGGAGTATATTTTCTTCTTGCAGATTATCAATTCTTGAATAAAGATTTGCACACTCATTCTCCATTTCTTTTAGGGCTTGTTGAAGTTGAGAGTTCTGAGTGTCTGACCACTGCAAGCATGAAAAAAGCACAATAAGAACTAGTTATACATTTATTCCTTGCAAATGTATTCATTCTTTCTTTCCAAAGAAAGAAAACTTGAGTTGCTTTTATAAATCATATGAAAGAGTATTCAAGCGTTGAACAGAAATAATAGGACAGCTGTTACATTGTTTTATAGTGTAACATATAAATGAGATGCCTTTAAAGTTAACAACTAGAATTCTACCTCTTTGAAAACAAGTTTTTGGATGCTAGTACTTTATATCTGTTGTGTTTGGGGAAATCTAGTGCTTAGATTACTTCAGATCCCTTCAGTAACTTTGCTTATTTGACTAATAAGTTTCTTTAAGGCATGATTCCCCCACTGTCAATTTTGACAGTTCCTTGGTTATTACTGATTTTATTTTACTGATGGTTGCATATGTTCTTGGCCATATGGCCTTTTTAATATGTATCACTGTTTCATTTAGTTGATATTAGTTGTTGATGTCTATTTACTGGTTTGGCTGCTAAGTTGTAAGCTAATTGCATTGGATAGAATTTTATAATTACTAATGACATTTGTCAAGGTGCATAAAACAATAACAGCATGTTCCTATGTGTTATAGTGATATGCTACTATCCTTAGCATGTTGGTAACAATTCACCATAAATGGGTGTCTGAGCCATGCTTTCTTTTCCAGTTCTTTCACTAAAAACTGCTAATTTGACAAATGCTATTGTGAAATGAAAACATGGAATATACCTCACAAGGAGGTTACCTGCAGTTTATTCTCCAAGGCATGCAGCTTGCTTTTGACTTCAGAGTGATGGTCAGTTAATTGACTCCAATCTTTTTTTAAGTTGTCAAGTTGATCTTTCCAGAGGCTACAGTCATCCTCAGCAACAGTTAGGGCTCTCTACAAGGAACAGGATCATTTATCCTTAGTAAAATTGACAAACATATTTTCTGGACAGTCTTGTTAAAAAGTAGAATAATGATAAGCTGTTCATTGCAAATGTGGCAATTTTATTGCAAGTCTAATTTGATGTGATAGGAGATCTTATTGAAGAAAATACCGTATGTCAGAACGTGATAGGCATGCTTATACATGGGGATAACTGGTCTCCTGTTCTTGCAAAGTTGAAAATATGAACCAATATTTCTATTGATTAATGACATCCATTTTTAAATAGCTTTCTTCTTGTGAAGGGCTGTTCCCTGGGATTTGTGGCTGAAGAAGAGTAGCCCAAGATCTGAGCTAGAGTCTTTCTAATTTGCAATCATTTATATGCTTTATGTTGGTACATTATTCCTAACTCACATGCATTTCTAGATATTCAATAGCATGGGTGTCAAACTTGATTTGCATTACGTGACATCATGTGATGTATCACAATGTTTTTTGCCTTTGTGAAGCTGGGGTGGGCATAGCCTGTGCATGATGCATCCGGCCGCATGTCCTGAAGAATAGTTGCATATTTCTGAGTTAATCAAAATGATCTTTCTACACATCAGGTAGAAAACAACATGCTTAAGACGAAAGCATTGTTCTACAAGTAATAGATGCAAATCCTTTCAATTTTTTGGGAAGAATTTTTCCCACAAGCAGAATAGTCCCCAATGAATCAAGGAGTTTCCTGACATCCTTGATGATCTGAAAACGTCTCAGGATATTTAGAGTTTCAGTAATATATACGCATCTTCCTCTAGGCCTCAGGCTAAAATCCTTGCCTACCTGGGCATTTTGAAATTGCTTTTGTGCCTGCATTTTCTCCTCAAGCAGTTTCTGAAGAGATTCTTTTACTTTCTGTTCATAATTCTGCTTTTGATCTTCCATCTCAAGGAGAATCCTTTTTAAGCCTTGTTTTGAATAACTCTAAGAAAAAAGAAAAGAGAGAGAGAGAGAGAGAGAGAGAGAGAGAGAGAGAGAGAGAGAGAGAGAGAGAGAGAGAGATCACACAGGATTTATCAGTCATGACTAACATTGACTAAGACAGGATTTAATGTGGATCTAACCTTTTGAAACCCAAGAGATCCATAACTTTTCAAGCTAAACTTGCTGTATGAGATAATTTTTTTTGCAAGCAATAATATTCTAAAGAATGATATTTCTTAGAAAATGGCAAAGAAACTGTAAAAGACACTAGCATATTAAACATTCTTGATTTAAGATTCCAGGCACAGTAAAAGACCAAACCTTTGAAATGTTAGGCAGCCTACATTGCATCCATTAAAATGTGAATCAAATTATGGTCATTTTTTTTAAAAAAAATATCTGTATTTTAAAAAGTTAAAATACTCTCTAGGCATCTGCCAAAATTCTTAGTAGTATTATACTTTCTTAGCAGTGTTACACTTTTATTACATATAAGGGCAAGAAGAAACATGTTGATCTCATGTAAATGTTTCTGTACTGCAATTTTATATGCACTCTATATGGCAAATCTTTTAGCTGTAACCACATAAATCTGAATATATGTGAGACACAATCATAAAAAATAGTGGCAGGATAGTTCAACAAAAAATCATGATGTTCAAGAAACAAATTATTGTTCAAAGAACAAAAACATTCTTCAGGTTTTTGAAGAAGAGTTATAATGAGTGTATTCTTTCAAATATATCAAATATTTGTATAATGTTAATATTATTAATGAATGAATTATAATGTTAATATTATTAATGAATGAATTATAATGTTAATATTATTAATGAATTAATATCTGGAGAACAAAACATATCTCCAAACTACAGAAAGTGACATTCACCATGTACATAGTTTTAGTTTTAAAAAATTAGTTTTAGTTTTACATTTTAAATTTAAATATTTAAAACTAAAATTTAAAACTTTCCCTTTTTGAGCCAAATATATTACCTGTGTACATATTTGCAGTTGATTCTCTAGCACGCTCAGTCTGCATTTAAGTTTGTCTTCATTGAACTGACCCTAATGGAATAAAAAAAGTTAAAATTTGTGAATACTTTTGCAAATAAGAATTTTTTAACTCTCTAATACCATGTGCCTTGCTTTATTCATATTATTTACAAGTTTCATTTACCTTTAAGCATCAGATCCAGTGGTGGGTTTCAGAAATTTTTGGAACCTACTCTGTGGGTGTGGCCTCCTTTGTGGGAGTGGTTGCTGGCCATGTGACCTGATGGGAGTGCCTTGCCGGCCATGTGTTCTCTCTCTCTCTCTCTCTTTCTCTCTCTCTCTCTCCTTTCTTTTGTCTTTCTGTCCCTTTTTTCTTTTTTTCTTTCATCTCTCTCTCACTCTTTTTCTTTCTTTTTTCTTTCTTTATTTATTTATTTCTTCCTTTCTCTTTTTCTCTCTCTCTGTGTCAGTCTGTCTGTCTGTGTGCGTGTCTGTGTGTCTGTGTGTGGGTTTCAAAAATTTTTGGAACCTCTTCTGTAGGTGTGGCCTGCTTTCCGGGTCCACTGGTGGAACCTCTTTTAACCGGTTCGCTAGATTTGACGAACTGGTTCTACCGAGTAGGTGCGAACTGGTAGGAACCCACCTCTGATTCAGATCCTTCACAAAAAGAGCATATTGGAATCTATGGCTTTCAGGAACAGAAAAGAAAACATAGCCATTCATATCACTTATTCTTATAACTATACTAATTACCAAAAGGCCTATGCTAATTGTTTATTTTAAAATTCTAGATAGTTTGCAATTATAAGTGATCCATCACTAAAGCTTTTCAAGAAAAGATTGGACAACCATTTGTCTGGGATGGTGTAAGGACTCCTGCCTTGGGCAGAGTGTTGGACTAGAAGATCGCTAAGGTCCCTTCCAGTCCTATAATTCTATGACTTAATTCTCATCCTTAAACTCCAAAGTCATTGCACTGAAATCAGCCAAAGTTAATGCAATGAGTTCAGGTTGTTTTTGTTTTCTTAATTCATAAGCTTCAACTGGAGGTTGATTTGGAAGGTTTGGCAAGGCCTTTGCTTCCAAATAATTTGTTCTACTTATTGAAACGCAACACTGGTTCTACTTTGTTTTGTTTTTAAAAAGATATTATAATTTAAAAGCAAAACCTTGCAAAGCAAAACAGGAGATTGTCAATGGATAATGACAAAACTTGGTAGATTTCTTCTACTTTTCTTGGGAACTGTAAGCTTTAAAGCACTTTAAAGAGGCCTTTATATTTCAGCTAAAATTTGCATCTCTTACTCCATTTATCATGGGCAAATCTGAAAATTTCAGCTCTGTATTCATTTGGAAATCCCAGAATTGGTCTGTTGCTTTAATGAATAGCAAACGGAAACATGGGCTATTCTGGAAACTTATACAGAAAACAAATGAAACAGTACACACCCACCTGTTGCTAAGCTGAGGTTCAGAGGTTTAATTACCACTTCCTGTCAGTAAAAATGTTAAACTATTCCCACTCTGCTATTCTAGATGTTAACAGCAGTGTTTCAGAGAGGAAGTACAAACCACAATGGTATCAAGCAGTAAATGTCGACACTTCTTTTCTAAGAGATCTTGCAGTGAGCTTAGTTTGAAAATTTGACTGAACTGCAATTTTTCTGGGCCAAGTAATTTGGGGCACTTCTTTGGCATCAGTTCTACTTAGTTGAAGCACAATTTCATGGAAAGTAGATATGTGTTCTTTTCCCCCCACAACAGGGTCAAATATAATATTATCAAAGATAAATCTGAGTTTGATTGTACAATTTTATTTATCTAAAGCTTTGTCCTTACAGATGTGCCACACAAAGATGTAACCTTCATTCACTATTAATAAATGCCTGGAAAGGACATCTTGGCAGCAAATACACTTGTCATTACAGAATAATATTGTGGTGAGAAAAACTGTCTCTGCTTGAAATTCTTTTTTTTAATAATTTTTCTTAATTTTTAAATTAAAGCAAATACATCATCCTTCTTTACATGCTATAGAAAGTGTATCAGTTGGTTAAAAAAAAAACTTTCGTGCATCTCCTCCACAGTCAACAAACGTAATTCATATTAACTGAAGTATTTTAGCTCAAATATTTATACATGTCACCATCAT